CCCAAAATTCAATCATATTATAATAAATTTAGTTATAAATTAACTTACTAATTAAAATAACCATTATATATATATTTTGAAAGGAAACAAACAATAAGAATATTCTAAAACAATAATAACAAACAAATATTTATTTACTTATTTTTTTTTCAAAATTATTTCGATTTATATTTCATTATCACAAATAATTTATATATTGTCCCAAATTTATCCAAATTGTGTAATCCATTGACTAGGAAAAATAAGAAAAGCAAATCGCTATCAACTACACAATTTCGTACTTTAATTTTTCTAAGCATAATTTAATATAAATTAGTTTTAGTACCCCAATAAAAATAATATTTTGAATTTGATTTTTTTAGTAAAAAATCCATATATTTTATCTTTAGGTTTTTTCCATGCTCCGCCCAACTTCCTATTTTACCGAATCCCCTCAACGGCATCAGTACTCGAGATATTATATATATATATTTTTTTTCTTATGATTTCTTATGATTAAATTAAATTCGGTTTGTTATATTAAAGTATTAAAAACACCTTATTTTATTTTTTTAATTTTTTCCGATCCTACTTTCGTTGGCACATCATTGTCGAATATCTTCCAGGCCTTTGAGCTTCTAAGCATTTAACGTTAAACCACTGCAGTTTCCTAAATGTGCAAAATCCGGATCTGTTCGTTTCTCTGTTTGCATTCCTGCTGCACGCGAATTGCGTTCAGAGGCTGGCCAAGGCCTTCTTCTTGTCTTGGTAAGGTCTTGTGCAAGCTAGTTTTCTCTAGCCTCTGCTTCGGTGGCACTCAGCGAATATGTGAATATGTTTTCTAGCAAGTTTTCTTCCAATAGTGCAGTTGAATGTGAACGGCACTTGTAACGCTTGCAAGACAATGGTGAGTTTGGCTGGGCTCCAAACAGCTCCAACACCTTCGTCCTCTTCAATGCGCCTAACTTCGTCATGGTTGCGACCAAATGATCCACATCTCTGAGCTACTATCTACGACTATCTCAAGAAGCTACTTGAACAAAACTAGCCATGAAGCTGCTGTTGAAGTAGACGTAAACGAATAGACAGTACTATCGAATTGTTGTGCTTCAATTTCTCTTCCGGCTCATCCTGGTTTCCCCCATTTCCTCCACAGGTTGCAAGCCTCAAGCCACCTCCATCTTGCTGTGGATTGCCTTTGGATTCAATAGCTTCTTCAGGCATGAAGTCGCCAGCTGGCAGTTCTGATGCCTGCTGGGCTGGCACACCTCAAGGCTGCTTTTTGCTGAAACTGACACAGACATACATAGGTTTACTGTACTGGGATTGTGATGACATCGTGCTATTGCTATGAGTTGGCTGAACCCTTTTGCGCACAGTTTCCCACCTGGCTGTGTGACAACCTGTGAAGCAGAGGCTTGCTCGCGTCCTATCCAAGTACTTCACCCAGGAAGCAAAACCACTTGCCAAAACTAAATGCAAAACATTTATATAGTATATTGCAAAATGTAAAACATCAGCAAAGTGCCACACTTTATCAGATCTTATCATCTTTCAGGACTTTGAGGACTAATGAGTACATGTATCATGTATCCAGAAGATTTGTTTCAGGCATATTACATAATCACACACACACCAAAAAAAGACAATAAATAAATAAGTTCGTAAATAAATAAATGACAAATAAATGATTAAATAAATAAATAAATATATATATATATGCAAACAATTGCAAACATATGCATGAAAAGATCATGAAGATCATGACAATATCATAAAAAGTATGATCATCCGCCTCCATGATCCAGCTCTTCCCCTGGTTCTGTTGGCCCAGCCGGTACGCCTGCAAGGATTCAGCCACAGGGCACACCAGGTTTTGACTGCCAATGGTGGCGCCAAGAGTTTCTTACCATGGGCAGGTTAAGCAAACTCCAAGGTGAACTTTGTGGTACCCACTGCCAGAAGCAACAAGTTATTTGTCCTTGAGGCATCGCGAAATAGCAAAAGAACTTGAACAACGCGCTCTGGAATTCTAGAAGCTGAACCAAACAAAAATCCACGGACCACTTGCAAACACTACTTGTCAAATGTTATCATTGTCACAACTATTGAAACCAAAGCAGTCCAAAGCCATCCCGCCAGAATCGAGTCAAATCACTACTAACCCCATTCCGCACGTCACAAAGTAAAACATTCTAGACAATGCTAAACGTCTTTGATCAAGACTGTCATGAAACCGTTGGTTGGAACGCTCAATCGGACACCACGAGAGTATCTTTGTGAAAGGAGAGGTGCATGGTAGCAAGAGTTGAACCCACTAGGCTGCAAGAGATGAACCCACTAGGCTGAAAAGCTCCATTCATTGCATTTTCAGTCTATTGTGAAGGAACCTGCATCGGGGCTTCTCTTTTTTGATTCCATTTCAGGCCCAGGACGCTATCTGGCCATTGAAAACAGGGAAAAAAGCAACATAAAGACAAACGCACAATCTATATATATATGTGTATATATGTATATATGTATATATGTATATATATATATGTATATATGTATATAGGTATATAGGTATATATATATACTCCAAAACGAGAAGCTTGCCTGGCTGCTCAGTGAATAAGCACAGCAAAAAACAGCAATCCTGCATGTGGCTGCTCAACAACTTGTCCATGATCCGCGACAATGCCTTGGCCATGAACATAACACACACAAACACCAAACACGCATGTACATATTATATATAATATAATGTAACATACTGTAATAAAATATAATTCAATGCAATATTATATTATATAATAGTATCTAATAATATATATTTATTTATATGCATAATTCTATATATAATCTTATAATCTATTATCATCTATTCTACACAACTGAGTGGCATCATGCATCAGGCATCTGCACTTGTTTGACATGCTTGGCTTAACGCTTAACAGCTTAAGTCTCGTCCGTCCCTTCGCCTCGCACCTCTCTTGATCGATTGACAACTCTGGGATCTTCCATGGTGTGGACCAAACACGAGAACGGGCATGCGCATGACAAGTTTGCCGCACAACTGTGCCCTGGACCCTGTTATGACCCCGAGGTAAATTCAGGTGCAGCAAACTTTTCTCTCTTAATATCTCCTATATGTCGGCAAACGTGGAGCACGGCAAAGCACTAATTGTATCTAATTGTACTATATTGTACTGTTCTGCTTACATTCGCCTCCATTCATCAGCAACATCCTTTGCAGCGTCTTGCAGCTTCCTAATCCAAAGGCCCCAACCATCAGGTTATATGTGTTAAGTCGTGTTAATTTTACATGAGCCATCATGAGCCCACTTGGCATGGCATCGCATGGCATCTAAAGTGGGCCTCTCTGAGTTCCAGGCCCGGTGGCTTTGGGGTCGTCCTGCTTTCAAGTACAATATGAACGCTAACAGTCGCAAACATATTTGCATTATTTTGCGTTCCTATCATTGTCCTATCATTCCTCAAAGTGGATCCACACTTCATGTTCACTCCTTGTGGCTTCTGGTGGTGCCTTGGTCTTGTCATGTCTTGTCATATTGGAATACATTTGTCAGGTGGAGTCCAGGTTGATCAGTTTTCATTTGTCCCACATTGTCCCAGGTCCCACAAATCTCGAATAAAGCGTTGCGTCGAGTCCTGCCTTTTCTCATTCGTTTCGTCTCTGAGCTCTGCGGCTTGGCTCACGGCTTTGCGGCCTGTTGCTTCAATTCAACGCAGTCAGAAGGGGAAAGAAAACATTGGAAAACTGTGAGCGAAAAATAACTCGAAACTGAAACACGATAAACACGTCTCCAATTGTCTTCAAAGTCCTTGATAGCTTCCACAGGCTTGCACTCTAAGCCAACGGGTTCAAACACGACGGGAGCACTTGGTTTTCCGCAGCAGAACGGCAAGCATCGGCACATGCCTACTGAATACAAGCAAAATCAGTTGAAAAGCTCGGTGGGCCACCCAATACATCCACATTTCGCCCGCTGGGGTCACAGCGTTGGCAAAGGCCTCCTTTCGGTGGTGGTGCGCCTTGCCATGACAAGCGAGAGCATGGGAAGCCATTACAATGCAAAGTATGCAAAAGTGCTAACCCCAAAAACGACACTGATCAATAATCCACCTTGCTTTGCACATACAAAACCGACTAAAATGAGAACCATCATCTCTGTAACCGTTGGAAACACATCCTACACATTCTGGCCACCAACGGCCACCAACAATTTTTTCTGATTCATGTGATATGGAGCCACTCGCTCCACATCGGCCAAGCTTTTCTGATATGACTTAATGTTCGTAGAGGGCGAATATGCTTGGACAGTGGCGGTTGCGCGTCAAGAAGCACAATTGGACTACGAATGCAGATTACAATGAAGGCTCAAGCATGCTGAAGCGCATCTTCTGCAATTTGACACATTCGTTATCCTCCGAATTTATGAAGTGTCTGATGTTCTGACGACCAGAACCATGCTTCTTTCACTTTTGGGCCCCTGCCTGGATACGCTGGATCGAGGGCAGCCCCATGACCTTCCACATTTCAGCCATGAATTTCAAAACGCGGAAGGGAACAAATGGAGGAATCCCTGTAGTTGACAGTCTCTCTCTCTCTCTCTATCCATCCATCGCCATCCGCAGGTCCAGCTGTAGTGTTGTGGCATTTACTTGTGTTCGCCGACCTGACACGCCAAGCTTTTGCATCTTTTAATATGCGATGGTGCAGCAAGGATCCGTATCGTGTCCCGTCTTGTGGAAGAGAAATGTTTTAAATTAATCATCTGCGGCTTCCACAGTCACATGTGCTTTGCACACGCAGCTTCCAGGCACTGATCATGCGGCACTGTCTAACAAAATCTAAGTTCCAACTAGTTCCAAGACCTCTCAATTTGCCCGAACACTTGCCTAAGCAGCCTCAACATGGTTTCTAGTTCAGGAAGCATCAGCACAGGAAATCAATTCTTCGGAGCGTCTGCGCTCGCAGCAGTCAAAGTAGAGGCATACCTGAGTCTGAAAATTTACAATGCAGTTGGTAATTTGCGTTCTGTACGGTCCACACATTTATTTTTCAGAATTCAGACTTGACATGGCAACCCAAGCATACGTGCGATCGCAACCCTTTTTCAAGCAAGTTGCAAAGAGCACAATGAAGAACATTAGGTTCCCAACTGTCGTGGAGACAACAGTTGAGAGCCTTTCATGCGACTTGAACACTTGGAAGTATACATTGAGCAGGCCACCAACGCTCATGAGAGTGTACCTGGATGCCAAGAGAGAAGCCGGACTCTGACTCTGAGGCCTGCAAATCCGTGTGCTATTTGGATGTAAATAAGCTCAACATCATAGGCCATCGGCTATCTAAAAATACATGAATCTTTGGTTGCATACTGTAAGAAAGCTTTAAGATGCTTTGATATGCTTGATATGCTATGATGGTATCTCATGGTCGGCTTTGTAAGTTGTATTTTCAAACCTCACATATGCATATATATATATATGTATGATATATGTATTTGAAACTGGTAGTGTAAACTCTCACATTGTATTTTGAAACAAAATGTTATTGTGCAACTGAAGTGGTATTTTGAATCTTTGAGTTTGTCTTTTGAGACTCTGACGTTATAGGGTCTTGGATGGTTTTGGCTGCATGTACTTCTGCATTTATCTGCATTTGTCAGCTTCACGCTTCATGATTCAGGTCGAACGCACCGAAAGCAATAATCTGCCGATACCTGCCGATCATTTTGGAAGAAACCAAGCATACTCTAGCCAAGCTGCATGCGGTAACTGATGCTGCCAGATCCGCGATGCTGGAAAGAGGTCAGAATCTGCGGCAACAAACGGAAAATGTTCAGCACGGCGCTGACATAGCCCAGGATACTAGCCAACAAGCGCAAGCTCCAGCTGCAAGTTGAGAACCTGGGAAGCACGTAAGCCACATGAGCTGCGAAAAAGGCGTGCAACAAGTGTGCAGGAGATGACTGCACAAACGCATTACAACAAATATACCGTAAATATGATTTAATAAACGCACCCAAAGGGCACCACCCAAACAAATTCGCTCTTGGTTCTGTCCAGTCCCACTATTGCGTGATCTGGCTCTCTCACAGGTTGCTGTTTTGGTCATGTCTTGACTCTTGACTTTGAGGCTTCAAGTGCACCTGGCCTGTCACTGACATATTTCCCTGGATTTACAAGGGCAACACAGGGCAGCTGGGAATGTGTGCAGCATGGTTCTTTGAAATCTTGCACGTTCGCTTTTCCAAGCAGCATTGACCACGCAATCAGGGCTCCAGTGCCAACAAGGAGAACCCCCATTTGTACTTGCCACCTCCGATTCAACTGCTTCTTCTCTGATTCTGGGGCGAAGTGTGCACACCAGTAGTATAGGGGAACCTGCACACAGCTCTGACTCTGCTCAGTCTGAGCTGCAAGCAAGGTATCAGCAAGAGAGGTCGACTAGTTGACAGGTTTGAAGTAAACACGTCTCAACAGGTGCTACACTGCATCACGGTTTTGCGTAGCTTGTGCCAAGGTGGGAATTGCATGCAGGGCCCCGCTGCCGCCACAAGCCTGCAAAAGCCATTGCGCAAGCGTCTGGTACAAGGCCAAGAGGTTGCATTGACACAATGGCTCATTCAAATGGCACCTTGGAGCCACTGGCTCTGGCGTTTGCCACTCAGGATCATGTAACGAGAGTATGATGCATTTCAACGAATCAAATACCCATCCCACCGACACACACACACGGTTCAACATGTCACAGCTAGCCGTAGGTGGGCAAGGAACTTTCGAGGCAGAGGCACATTTGCATCTGCGGGAACTTAAGCACCAGCATGTTCCAAGATGCCAGCATCTGCTGCACATTTGTGAGGAGCAACGTGTGTGCAGAAACACCATCAGCGCTTCGCAAAGAAAGAATCTTTAGGTGCGCAGGAATAATTGCCAACGCCGTTCCTGGTGCAAATCTTTGAGTAACCAAAAGCAGTACACAACGAAAGGCTATGAATGAAAGGCTTTATTTGTCAAGAATCTGAAACAAACACAACAATGAGATCGTCTCAGGTTTCATCGGCCTGCAATGAGACCAATGCCAATGATGATGCTGGTAACGTCGCAAGCATCGGTCTCATACGTAGTCTTGCAGCTATCCATGGCGCCAGGTCGGGGAAGCCGTTGGGGGGTTGCTGACGCAGCTTGGTTCATCTAGGTTCAGTGTTGAGTCACAGTTCAAGTGACAATATGCAAGAAAGAAAAAAGGCACCAAAACGGCGCAACATGGTGCAACATGTTTCCCAACTGCGAGGGCATGCAGGGTGATGCAAATTTGGTGGTGGACATGACAGGCTTAAGGCAAGGGAGCTGTACAAATGCTGTAGAGTACAATGAAATGTAAATAAATAAATACATATATATATACTCTTCTATAATCTAACGTGTCTTTTTTTTGGAGGTTAAAAAAAAATGCTGTACAAGTTTGTTTTCCTTGCTGTTTTGACGATTACAGCCGAATACACGTTAGCGTCTCACCGATTTCAACCTGTTCAACCCATGACTTGCATGAGAAGCATGTTGGCATGTGGACATGTAAGAAAAAACGATCCCACAATACATGTCAGCAGCCAGAAGAAATCATTGTGTTAAGACTGGAGCAGCCAGCTTTGCAGTGTCAGATGTGTCCATTATCCACACATAATTCTTTATCCACACATTATATATATATATATACATGTGTCTTTTCCATAATCCAACGAGTATTTTTTTTGGAGTTCACAAAAAAATCAATACAATTTGTTTTCCTTGCCGTTTTGACGAGATACAACTTTTCAGGAAATAAGGAAAACAAGGTGAGACAAGGAATTCAGACATGTGCCACACTCCCCAGACAAGGTACAGGTTAGTAACGCTTTGGAGCAGTTGGTGTGTCACAAGAGATTTTAACATAAAATACATGTTAGTAGTACCAGCTGCAAAATCGTTGCTTTGAGAATACAATATCTATGTTAGCTAATGAGTGGTCTTTCCTATTTTGGGTTGAGAAGTTTAATTTCTATTGCAACAAGATCTGAACACACAAACCTCAAGCAGATCACAAGGTACAGGTTAAGGGGATCATGGTGGTTTGCTATTTTGGGATTGTCTTCATTAGATCTTCACAACTAGATCACTGGTCTCTTTGTGGGTCTCCCCCTTTGTGAAGCCAAAAGGCATCACAAATCAACAATTTTAAATAGAAACTTTATACACGAAAAAAATGATAGATTTTCAAATTGTTGGTTTGGAAGCTTGGGATTCTGTTGCAACAAGATCTGAACACACAAACCTCAAGCAGATCACAAGGTACAGGTTAAGGGGATCATGGTGGTTTGCTATTGCGGGATTGTCTTCAATAGATTTTCACAACTAGATCACTGGTCTCGTTGTGGGTCTCCCTCCCCCTTTGTGAAGCCAAAAGGCATCACAAATCAACAATTTTAAATAGAAACTTTATACAAGAAAAAAATGATAGATTTTCAACTTGTTGGTTTGGAAGCTTGGGATTCTGTTGCAACAAGATCTGAACACACAAACCTCAAGCAGATCACAAGGTACAGGTTAAGGGGATCATGGTGGTTTGCTATTTTGGGATTGTCTTCAATAGATTTTCACAGCTAGATCACTGGTCTCGTTGTGGGTCTCCCCCTTTGTGAAGCCAAAAGGCATCACAAATCAACAATTTTAAATAGAAACTTTATACAAGAAAAAAAAATGATAGATTTTCAAATTGTTGGTTTGGAAGCTTGGGATTCTGCTGCAACAAGATCTGAACACACAAACCTCAAACAGACCACAAGGTACAGGTTAAGGGGATCATGGTGGTTTGCTATTTTGAGATTGTCTTCAATAGATCTTCACAATTAGATCACTGGTCTCTTTGTGGGTCTCCCCCTTTGTGAAGCCAAAAGGCATCACACATCAACAATTTTAAATAGGAACTTTATACACGAAAAAAATGATAGATGTTCAACTTGTTGGTTTGGAAGCTTGGGATTCTGTTGCAACAAGATCTGAACACACAAACCTCAAACAGATCACAAGGTACAGGTTAAGGGGATCATGGTGGTGGTTTGCTATTTTGGGATTGTCTTCAATAGATCTTCACAACTAGATCACTGGTTTGTGGGTCTCCCCCTTTGTGAAGCCAAAAGGCATCACAAATCAACAATTTTAAATAGGAACTTTATACACGAAAAAAATGATAGATTTTCAACTTGTTGGTTTGGAAGCTTGGGATTCTGTTGCAACAAGATCTGAACACACAAACCTCAAACAGATCACAAGGTACAGGTTAAGGGGATCATGGTGGTGGTTTGCTATTTTGGGATTGTCTTCAATAGATCTTCACAATTAGATCACTGGTCTCGTTGTGGGTCTCCCCCTTTGTGAAGCCAAAAGGCATCACAAATCAACAATTTTAAATAGGAACTTTATATATACACGAAAAAAATGATAGATTTTCAAATCGTTGGTTTGGAAGCTTGGGATTCTGTTGCAACAAGATCTGAACACACAAACCTCAAGCAGATCACAAGGTACAGGTTAAGGGGATCATGGTGGTTTGCTATTTTGGGATTGTTTTCAATAGATCTTCACAACTAGATCACTGGTCTCGTTGTGGGTCTCCCCCTTTGTGAAGCCAAAAGGCATCACAAATCAACAATTTTCAATAGGAACTTTATACAAGAAAAAAATGATAGATTCTGAAATGGAGGGAGTGGCATGGATGCTAACCTGTATTTACTCATGCTTTGTGAGATGGTTTATGCAATTGGAATAGATGGAGCAATTCTTCTTGAAAACCATGCCCACTGACATGTATTTTCCATTTTTTTGTTGAACGCACCAAACGTGTTCAAATAACACTGTATCTCATTGCAGGTCCAAAACATGCATATATGATGCTAACATGTACTTTCCACGATGCAGGATCTTGCTGTGCAACATGACTGGTACCAATTTCAGATCTCCGGCGGAGATTGCAAAAAGTACAGGTTAGGGGTTTTGCATGAAAAAAACAATGTTCACATATAATCGGAGGACCTGTGTAAGGTACATGTTTGTTTTCCGGAATTTGGCATCTAACGAGTATTTTTTTTATAGTTGACAAAAAATAAATACACGTTTGTTTTCCTTGCCGTTTTGACGAGATACAACTTTTCAGGAAATAAGGAAAACAAGGTGAGACAAGGAATTCAGACATGTGCCACACTCCCCAGACAAGGTACAGGTTAGTAACGCTTTGGAGCAGTTGATGTGTCACAAGAGATTTTAACATAAAATACATGTTAGTAGGACCAGCTGCAAATCGTTGATTTGAGAATACAATATCTATGTTAGCTAATGAGTGGTCTTTCCTATTTTGGGTTGAGAAGTTTCGGATTCTATTGCAACAAGATCTGAACACACAAACCTCAAGCAGATCACAAGGTACAGGTTAAGGGGATCATGGTGGTTTGCTATTTTGGGATTGTCTTCATTAGATCTTCACAACTAGATCACTGGTCTCTTTGTGGGTCTCCCCCTTTGTGAAGCCAAAAGGCATCACAAATCAACAATTTTAAATAGAAACTTTATACAAGAAAAACATGATAGATTTTCAAATTGTTGGTTTGGAAGCTTGGGATTCTGTTGCAATAAGATCTGAACACACAAACGTCGAACAGATCACAAGGTACAGGTTAAGGGGATCATGGTGGTTTGCTATTTTGGGATTGTCTTCATTAGATCCTCACAACTAGATCACTGGTCTCTTTGTGGGTCTCCCCCTTTGTGAAGCCAAAAGCCATCACAAATCAACAATTTTAAATAGAAACTTTATACAAGAAAAAAATGATAGATTTTCAAATTGTTGGTTTGGAAGCTTGGGATTCTGCTGCAACAAGATCTGAACACAAAAACCTCAAACAGACCACAAGGTACAGGTTAAGGGGATCATGGTGGTTTGCTATTTTGGGATTGTCTTCAATAGATCTTCACAACTAGATCACTGGTTTGTGGGTCTCCCCCTTTGTGAAGCCAAAAGGCATCACAAATCAACAATTTTCAGTAGGAACTTTATACAAGAAAAAAATGATAGATTCTGAAATGGAGGGAGTGGCATGGATGCTAACCTGTATTTACTCATGCTTTGTGAGATGGTTTATACAATTGGAATAGATGGAACAATCCTTCTTGAAAACCATGCCCACTAATATGTATTTTCCATTTTTTTGTTGAACGCAGCAAACGTGTTCAAATAACACTAACCTGTATCCCATTGCAGGTCCAAAACATGCATGTATGATGCTAACATGTACTTTCTAAGAATTTTTTCCTCTGTTTTTACCATGACTTTAGCACCTTCAGATCCCTGGCGGGGGTAGCAAAAAGTACAGGTTAGTGGTTTTTCATGCCAAAAACCATGCTAACATATACTTTAAGGACCTGTGTAAGATACATGTTTGTATTCCTGAATTTGGCCCAGGGTTGCTACGTTAGTTTTAAGGAGTGTATATAATATATATATATACATACATACATACATACAACTGTGAGGCAAGACATCTTTGTATGAAAGTACATAAGGCATAAGGTGTCACAAGGTCATGATGAAAAGGTGGAACACGTTGTAAAACGCTCTCTGTTTGTTGAATCTTTTGTCACTAGCTGCAATGCTCCCTCTTCATCTCAACTCAAACTCAGAAGGGTATAATTGCCAAAATGTTCGCATACCTTCGCCCAAATGTCTTGGTTGAGCTCGGGCCAACAAAATCTGGCGACAAGGAAATGACATGAAATGACCACGATTGAGTATGCTCCGATATGCTCAGGTTCTCAGATCATTCAAAGAGGCCTTCAGATGCTTTGAGATACGAGTCGGGTCATTCTTTGAGGATCTTCTGAGATCTTCTGAGCTCGAGGCCCTGGCCTTGTTGACCTTGCATGGTCTTCACGAAGGAATCGGACCAAGACCTCAAAAACCATCACTGTGCTCGAAGGTCTGATAGTCATAGTAGTGGATTACTATCGTGTACGAACATGTACGAACACAATGAGCATCCATAAGCATGACCTAGATTCATGTCCTTGTTTGACATATCTTTTGAATTCTTTTGAGGTCAGATTGGACAGAGAATCCCTACCCAACCATAGAATCACAAACATGCACACTCTCCTGGTGACAGGGAACTATCATGAATCTTTCGCAGCAAACCGTTGACAAAATATGACAAGATCACGCGTTGCTGGGTAGCAAACTTGTTTTTCATCTCTTGCTGCATTTCTGCAGCCTTGGAATATCAAAGCTGTCACAGGAAGGTTAGTTTTGCATTGCTCAGGCCAAATGCTGTCCTCCATGTCTTGTTGCGACAAAACACTCAACAGAATCACTTGCTCAACCCAAACCAACAAAACATTGAGCTCATGAATCATGACTCAATGATGTCCTTGAATTCCGGATTTCAGACTTGCACTTTGTCTACACAAATAGCTGGAATGCGTACCACATGTGCAACCAAGACCATCTAAGAATGTAAAATAATTTGGCCGATGGCATTTGGCAATGGAGGATGTTGCAGGATGTTGGAAGGCAAAACCTCTGTTGCGTGGGGGGGGGGGCATTCTTAATTTCACATTTCTTTCCTAGTTGCCTCCCAAAGCCTACAGTAAGTGCACCTGTGCCGTGGAACCCCACTTCTGGCAACAAAACCCAGTCCAGAGCTGTGCAAACACGCATGTGGGGAAATGATGGGCAGTTCAAGAACATGCTATTTGCAACCCTAAAATCTCCCAGCAGCTGCTCCCTGTTTGAGCAAGTTGCGTGTTTCTTTCGGTCTTCAACGCATTCTCCTTGGAGGCTGCATCTCAACGGTTGTTGTCTTGAAATTGCACTTTGTTTCTAAACAAATTCTGATTCTCTGGCGCTTGCTTCCGCACCACACCCTCGGAACTGTTTTGCTGGTGATGTGCTTGCTGCTGCAGCTGAATATGGGCGATGTTGCGCGTTGCGGATTCTAAGCAACGGACGCCACGCGCTCATGGCTACCTGCACAACAAGTATGATCAAAGCTCCAAAATGTGCAGGCCACAGCGTGATCAATTACATATAATTATCTTAATGGCGGCATGCATATCCCGCCCCGCACCAAGTGCAAGTGTTTAGTGTGGCCGAAGGAAATTTTAAAGCCAAATTTCCGACAATGTGGACAGATAGAAAAGTAGAGGTGGGAAGAGTCAGAGAAGAAAAAGGAAGAAGAAAAAATATCAGAGAAGGGACAAAATCAGAAGAAGGAAGATGCAGGCGCGCGAAAAGGTAGAATAATTAGCCGCGAAACACGTTGCCTTTCTAATTTTTAATGGTTCTGGATGATCAAAAAGTAGGCTCGCTAAAGTGGCGGGCGCTGAACCATCTGGGGAGATGAAAAATCAAAAATTGCACGCTGTTGTAGCGCGAAGCAAATTTGAAAGTCAAAACGTCAAAAAAACCTCATGCTCAAATGGAAAAAGTGTGCGCAACTGTGGCGCGAAGCGCGTTTGGAAGTCAAAATGTGAAAAGCACATAAAAATCATGAAAATACAAAAAAACACAGCAGGTTCGGACCAATTTTGGAAGTTGAGATGTTGAAAAAGTGCACACCGTTGTGGCGCAAAGCACATTTTCAAGCGAAAATGATCAAAACGCCTCAGGTCTGGAGCGTGTGCCACATTGCTGTAGCGCATTGCATATGCAAGAGGAAGTCATTTGCGTGCAGGAGCAAGCCATTGACTCAGTCCGGACTTTGTTAAGGGAGGGCCGACAGGGCAACATAGCGTTAAGATATGTTAAGATGTTGAAAAAGTGCACGCCGTCGTGGCGCGAAGCACATTTCGACGACACAACGCTAAAAAAACACATGAGCGATCGGCAAAACCTTAATTGAAAAATGCGTTTTTTGGTCAAAGTTATCGTTTTGGGGACTTCGCTAAATACGTTCATCAAGGGTAAAGATCGTCAAACCGGACCTGCAGGTGCTGCAAAAGAAAATGCATAGCAGTGAAAAGATCGCAATAAGCAACTGATAATATTCAACGGCAAACAATCATCTCAAGAATCTTTTCGCATCTGGGCCATCCATCAGCGAAGGACATTTTGTCAAGAAATGCTTATCGTTTCGATATCGTTCAAAGAGGGAAAGATTTTTGGGAAAATGGCATGAACCAAGGAAAGTTGGAAAGGAGATCTGTTGTCACCGTCACTTCTTGCATGAAAGCGCGGAAATACAAAACGCTCATCCGGAAGGCTTGAACACTGGCGAGACAAAAAAGAGCATCCAAATCCAGCTAGTTACCACATAACAATACGTGATTGGATACGAAACCGTTTTCAATAATCAGAAATAAAGAAATTGGCCAGGATCAAGAGTGTCAGCATACTTTCGCACATCTTCCGTTGTGTGAGCTGGGCATGACGTATACCCCACAACCGAGAGCCTAGATGATCTAGATGCTTCTAGAACAGGTATTCACCATCATGTCATGTACACCACCCCTTCACATCCCAGCATGCTTTCACACATGAACTGATTCCCATGCTATCGTTTTTGAAAGTTCACTATATCGTTTTACATATCAAGATGCATGTTTTTACATTCATGAAAAATCGCTCGAATACATACCTCCCACACGGACAGCTTAGCCTCTTTCTCACATGTTTGGACCACTTTTGGACCACAACACTACAGCTGCAACTATAACTAGCACTACACGGCACTACAACGACAACTATAGCTACAACTACAAACGCAACCACAACTACACCACACTACAACTACACCTACAGCTCCACTACACTACACTACACTCCACTGCACTACTCTACCACTACCACTGCCACTACAACTGCAGCAACAACCACAAGTACAACTACAAGTGCAACTACAAGTGCAAGTACAAAGGCAACTACAAGTACAACTGCAAGACCTGCAAGTACCAATGCTACGACAACGCTACATTACACCTACAACTGCAACTACAACTACACCACACTTCACTACCCTACACATCCTACACTGCACTACACTACCACCAGAACTACAACTGCCACTATAGCTACAACCACACTACACTGCAGTACGCTACACTGATTACACTCCACTACATTAATTCCACCTACACGACACGACACGACACTGCACTACAACTACGCTACACTACAACTACACTACACTACAACTACACTGCACCACACTACATCCAGCAGTTGTGGGTGAGGTGACCACTGCAACCATTCCACAAAGCACAACTCCAGTCGCCTTTCGGTCCATCAGTGGATTCGCTCTGCCACCCATGCATCACAGCAACTCACCTCTCCTATAGTTTCCTTCCGCCACCGCCTTGTGCGGTACTACGAGCACTGGTAATTAATTACTCAGTCCAAGTTTTGCCGAAGGAGAGGGCATTGCTGTGGAGCTTAATTGTATCCGGATAATTCTGGCGAAAAGCCTTCAGGACCTTTCTCTACCTTTCTTGATTCTTTCTTGCATAATTTTTGGATACTACCGGCTGCCCGGCCTGGAGCAAGAGTGTCTGATCTCTTTGCTCCAGCGACATCAGGAAGATTGTCTGGCACAAATGTGCACCGGAGCAAAGCGCGTGCCAAAACCCAAACACTTCTACCGACTCCTGCTGGTTGCCTCTCGCTCTAAATGTGCAAACTGCTCATGAACACCTCAAACAAAGCTGCCTCCAGCTAAAGTAAGAATGCATTCGGGCCCCAGCGCTTCCAATATCTTCCAATTGCCTTGCGCTTCTGCTCTGCTTGCAAATGTCTTTGCCGCATGTTCTTGGCCTTTGCAGGTGCTAATTGCTTTGGCATCAAACCCCTCCCTGCGGGGGAAATTGACATACTTAGGTCCACAAGAATGATGGCGATGAATATAGCATAGAATCAAACACCATCATCCGGATGTTGGATGCCAGTGTAGTGGACAGCAACCCACGTTAATCCCACATTAACTCACAACTTGGCTTTTCATGCTACCAGGTGTTTGAGATCCTGTGGGGCGGTGACGGGTTTTGTTGTTCTAGGGATTTCAAGGGCGCTGGCCTCTGCCCTGAGCTGCTGCGCCTATCAAAATTATCAAAGCTGAGGAAGACATGCAAAACATTCAAACACTGTCAAGACTTCAAAATCATTCAAAACTCCAAAAATAAAGATAATAAAGCGCTTCAAACAAAATAACACAAAAGAACGCATGCAAATGCAAGCCGGTTAAGCGTATTCAGGGCATGTTGGGATTCATGTTCATGTTCATATGCGATGCAACTTTACAATGCTTTGGAGGCCTCTTCCTGTGCCTTCTTTGCTTCCTCTTCGTATAAACGACGGGTGAGATCAATGTTCTCGTCCTGGTACCCAGACGTACCCAACTTCTGAAAGATACTCAAAGCCTCCAAGCAACCAGAAGGATCAGAAAATATCAGAAACAAACATTTCGAAGCCCGCATCGATCCACATCCGCCACATCATGTCGCAAAGGTTGATGCAGTATTCTGCACCCAAGGGCATGACCTGGTAATCAAATGTAATCAACCTCACACCCTGACTGGACCGACTCAAACTGCCCAGCCCCCACAATCACCGTCCCTTTGCTTCTCGAGGACCAGGTCTTTCCATGCTGACCTCAACCAAGCAGTTTGAACAATTTTTAAGAGACACCATCCAAATGTGTTAGTGTTGCAAATCTGAAGCATGCCGGCCATCGACAAATAACCATGGAATACCATGGAATACCATGGACATAGCACAGGCATGCCATGTCTGAGGCTGCCAGCCAAAGAATTGGAAGAAGCACCTCCCTCTGCCCCTTGCCGTGTCGTGGCCCCGCGACAGTCTTTGACAGCCTGACTCAGATTACGTCAGAGCTTTACTTATTTTACTTTTATTATAACTTATATTAGTTGTATCTTTACTTAGTATGCACTCCGTAGGAGCGAACCTGTCCCTTGACCTCTCTAAACCCTCGCGATCCTCTCTATCAACACCAATTCTTTTTTTACTGATTCTTGATTGATATTTTTGGTTTTCTGAGTCTCCAATCTTCCGTTTGTTATTGATTCTTTGCGTGGGTATTTCTTTGAGAACGGTTTTTATTATTTTTTATCTTTACAGTAAAAAAATGGGATCACAAGGCTCTGTCTGGACCCATGATGTCACATCACTATACAAAAAACTGAAGTATACAGACTTCGCTCCTCACCATGTCCAGCCACTTGCTGCTTGGCCTTCATCTTTTGGTCTACAGCTGACAGCGCGATCATGGACTGTCGCATCCTGTCGAAAATGGAGACTTGGTCATAGTCATAGTCAATGCATGTCAATGCAAAGCATGTCCCATTGAAAACGATATCAAAATATGCCCACTTGGATCCAATTGGATTTTATGAAGGTTATTATTGTGCGGATATATGTGGACATATGTGGACTTTAACTGCACATATTGGGCTTTCCATTCAATCCACTCCATCAAGAAATCCATACAAAAGATTACACAAGTAGATTAGAACATACCATGTCATTCAGTACCAGGAATTAATGACAAGCTCAATATCATCAACCACTGGATTTCCCAGCTTGTTCTTTTTTCCGCGATGTGCTCTTTGACTTCGCAGCCTGAGGTGCCTTCGTTCACTTGGGTATTGCTCAGAACAAAGAAACTCAGCATATCTCAGCATCATCATTGTCCACCAATTTCATCCAATTTAGCTATGCCACGCTTCTTTGGTACATTTTGGTACCCGCAACTTCTACTTGAACATACTGGAACTACGGCAAAGCTTCCGCAGCTTGGAAAGATATGGAAATATCACCCGCAAGCACTACTCAGCTTCAGCCATAGACTCCTGCACTTCACAGGGTTCACAATAAATTGCTTGTAATTAAACGATATTCTTGGAATATGAAGGCGCCCACTAAACATCCATCATTGCCACGTGGATCAGAAGTATCTCATGATGCAAATGCGACATAGCAAGGGACCTCGCAAATTTGTGCCGAGTCTCTCGCAAAGCCTCGATCTTTTGAAGTAGTGCAGTCCAGAACTCTGGGGTCATCTTCCTTGGAAGAGGACTGAAATCTACTCTTAAAGTCTTAACGGTCTTAACGCATCTCAAAAAACAGTTCTGTGTCTGCATCATTCTAACCGGACCCTCATCGTCTGCCAAGCCTACTCAGTGTTTAGTCATGTTCAGTCCAATTCTGACAGACTGACCAATAAAACAAAAGGATAACAACAGGTCAAGTCAAGGAACTGATAGTTGAAGTACTCCCAGGCAACTTCCGGGAAGCGGAGCTTGTTTTCCTCTGTCCAGAACTGATGCCAAAGCCTCACGGCTCAACTCACAGTCGGGACAGGCTGCGCATGGTAATGAAATCAATCGACCGTGACTGAGTTTCAAAAGACCCACATACAAAACGCATGAAACCCTATCACATTGCATTATTTCTTTGCCGCTTGCCACACTGACAAACAGGCTTCAGGAAAGGCAAGGCTGAGTTCTCTGGCGTCACAGATGGATCCAGCGACACTGAGTACCACCACCAGCCAGAAGGAATGACCTTGAGCCAGTCAAACAGGACATAGACTTCCACATAGAGGGAAAGAAAGCAACATTTTTGAGCTTTGAGCTTTTGGACTTTGGCGTCTTTTGGCAATTTTTGGAGGAAGACAATTGCTGAAGGCTTGCACCGTCCAGGTTGGATGGTGGCTTCATTTCGCTGTTTATATGTTCGATCGCATTTCTCATTTTGGAGATTGTTCAGCAACAAGTGCGCCCCCACATGATCGAATTTTGATTAGCCTGTGCCAGGCGATGACAAAATGGCTCTGCATTGCGCATCCACAACCCTCAGGGACATGCCCGTAGTTCACCATAAATGTATATAAATGTATTGAACGAGCTAGTTTATCACATGCATGTATACTGTATACAATTGCAACCTTCTTACAATTGCATACATCGTCAATGTACATATGTCGATGTCATAATGTGTAAGTAAGATTTCTCATTTATTTATGTTTTGTACCATTGATTGGACTCAGAAAATTGACAAGGTCACGATAGGACCAGGTGACCACAGGTGACAGGGAATGACAGAGAGACATTTCATCCAAGCTGCCAAGGTCTGGCCCAAATAAAGCACGGCCACCTGACATTTGGCCTCTGCGAAGAGCGGATGCCGCTTCGCACTGGGTGCCAAGATGTCCACCTGGGAGCACACGCATCGACTGTGTCAAATCGAAGGTCAAGCAGGTCAAACATCTCAGAACTGTTTCAAAACGGTTTGCAGTATCAGTATTATCAGTTCAAGAATGGCTTGGGACTGGTGTAAAATGGTTTGCAGTAGTGTAGTCAAAATACTTGTCAAACTGGATCTGGATCGACTGTCACAACCCAGAGTGATCATTCCATATCATTCCAGGTCATGAGGCCCAGGCCCCGCTAATGCTCGTAGCAAAACCACTGGTCTCCTTCAAGGTCAGGCTTCCCTACCATCTTCCGCGAATTTCCTTGCCTATTAACTTATGGATCTTTATAGATCTTTATAGTATCTTACAGTAAACTTAAATGTATAGACATCTACTGACCTGTACTTCCACTGCTTTGGAATTGAATCCAACAAACATCATCAAACTCATTCAAACTCTTCATCTATGTTCTTGATTACTCTGCCGATTTAGCCGATCCAACTTTGATGCAAGCTGCAAGGAAGACATGACTAGCTGACCTTGGAGTGCTCCTCCCTTTCACACCGCTTTTTCTGCCTTGAATTTCCTCTTGACCTGGGTTCTTTTTCTGGCCAAGCGAAACAGCGTCCTGCATTGGGCCGCCTGTCTCTTCGTAGAGCTTCCTTGACTCGGAGGGTGGAAAGAGGAAGAACCTCACAGGCACGAACTTTGGAACCTCGAGGTGCCCTATGGGACCACTCAAATCATGCAAGGCAAATCGTTCCTCTCTCACGTGTGTGTCACCAAATGAAGCTCGACACCCTACAGGATCCAGATTCCATGCTCAAGCTCCACTTAGTCACCTGGAAGCTGAATCTCATTGAATCTCAGTTGGACATGAGCAATGTCTGATACTAAGAGAGGAGGTAACTCGCCATGAGAGATGCCAACAGGTGTGGCAACTCCCGGCTCTCTCTCTCTGTCAGATCAGAAAACAGAACAAAGCGTCTACTTGGAGTGGATCGGGCATGCTGTTGATGAAAATGAACCCACCGGCCCAAAAAACTGAAAGCGTACAATGAATTTCAACTAAGTGGCGCCCTTCTCCCCTCTATTTGGTTGAACCAAGTATGCGCCCCAGCAACCTCCACCTTGGCTGCGGACCATGCACATCATGCAAGGCAGTCCTGACTCCTGTAAGTTGATGCAGCATTTACATTCATATTCAATAATTAGCCTGAATGATTCTGGAATACACTACGGAAAGAAGCTGGAAGAGAACACGGCCATCACAAATGCGCTGTCTTGTGCGGGTGCGACTCATTTGTGACCTTCCAAAACCATAATTGCACTTGCACACTTCTTAACAAACTTCGTGCTGCAGCATCCATTTGACAGTTCCCCCAACAACCAGCAAAGGGGAAAGTGGACCCAAAGTTCCTCTAGTCTTGACTTGACCTATTCGGTCAGCCTGCACAAACTTCACGCACCCAGGTCTTGGACAGTCTGAATCCACTTGTCTCAACAAGTTGCGTGGAGTCTCGTAATGGAGCCTGTAGCTGCAAGCGTCACCTGCTCATGGACCCTCTCAATCTGGAGATTCGATAAAACTGTGGCTTTTACTATGATCAGCCGTGAGCTAGGTGACTTGTCGATGTTACATTATATAGTAATCAATAGTAATCATTAATTAGTTACCTTTCCTAAGATGGAAATGACAATTTATTCCTTGACTGCTTCGCTGATAAAGGAATGCCCAGGATCCCACATCAAGCACCTTGTAGAAACGAGAAAGCGTCTCCATGGGATCTTGCAAAGAGAAAGCATGTGCGAAGACTTGAGCGAGCCTGGCTGCAAGATCGACGCTGGGTTGTTGCATTTTTTTTGAAACACTTGAGACCGCTTGAGCGTTAGTCTCAGCAGCACAATAGATCCAACACGCTGAGCCGAGGCAAATATAATATATAATCATACTATATTATACTAGTATAGTGCTGATGGCCAGCCACAGCTTTAACGATCTTTAAAGCAGTTGAAATCATTTGGACAACAACCCATGTCCCCATCCACACGGCATGGCCTTGGAGTAACATCTGGCAACCCCTCAGGGCCAAGCTTTGTCCAGCACTCGTCGAAGAATTTCCTGATCTCGTATGATCTCCGCCAAAGAAATCTACACATTGATATTGTGTGAGCTTGCCCCAATTTCCTGCATTTTCAAGCTGAAGAGTCCAGATTCTCAGATACATCCAAATACCATATTCCCTATCACCGACCACTATGTAAAAAAAACTCCAAAGCAATCCATATCATATATCTTGCAAGTACATTTATAAACACAAATGACGCAAAAACCAGCAAACCATCCAACTGCTTGTGGAGCTGCCGCATGACACCAAAGAAAGGAGCATAACCATCCAGAGTGAGTCGAGGAAAAGCAAGACCCTTCTCCTGAGCATGAATATGCCAACGGTTGACTGCTAGACTACATACTATTCGTATATAGCACATACTATGGCTAGAGCCATTGATCTCTCTCTCTCTCTATTCTTGTCATGCTTCCGTGCCGGGACGAAGTGGGTAAGCCAGGAGTAAAGATTACACAAGAACATATGTATTGTGCTATATCATCTATACAACATATAGATATGCACAATAATATATTGATATATATATATTGTATATATTGTATATTATATTCGATTATATTCGTATACACTATTGTATTTATACTACAGTACTACAGGTGTGTTTGTCCGTGAGTTGGCAAATCTGCTTCCAGCGCAATAAGCAGAGTCCTGGTCGCATTTGCGGTCCATTCGTTGTAGGGTTCTTGCAAACTCCACCTCGCCAAAATGGACTCGGCATGGCCACAATCAACGAAAGCTTTTGCCAACTTGTGCAATGTGTCACGGTGAGCCTGGTTTCCTGCAAGTACAAACCACATGTGCAGAGTAAAGCAATTTCTGTAGCTCTCTTACAGTAGATTCTTGGAGTACAAGTCACATACTCTCCGATACTGACGTGGAGCACAACTTTATCAATGGCCTCAGCCAAAGAAACTGCTGTGGGTGTTCCAGGGCTGTCAAAACATTCAACACATTTCACATGCAGACAGGGGCAACAGTTGTACAACATTGTACAGCGCTTGTGGCGCTTCCTTGGCTAAACGTTGAAGTTCATAATTGTTCCAAAGCACTGCTTCATCACCATCCTCAGGTCTCAGAAGAAACAACAGTAAAGAACCTGCCTGCACAATCGTTTCAACTGCGAAAGCGTCAGATCATGCGACAATTCATGACAAATCATAACAATCCGAACCTTGGATTCATCATACCTCTACTACAACTGCTGACCCAGGAGCGAAGGCTGGAAACTGAGGGCGGCAAAACCTGGACATTGACTTCTCTTGCCCATGGTAAGGGGGGTCAAGCAAGACAGGAGATCAACTGGTTTGAAACTTGATGACAATCAGTAGCACACTTTTAAAATAGGAGAAGGCGCGCTCATGGGGAGCAGGTCTTTGCATAATGAGATTTGGAAATATGTTTCAATGTTCCTTCTGCATGTGTGGTAATCAATGAATATCAATGCCTGACGCCTGTCTGCCATCATCTGCCATCAACCAGAAAAAATGATTCTCAAGACGCTCTTGGAGAAGACTAACTATATACAATATACTAATAAATATATCAACTTCCTGGAAACAAAAATGCCAGTATGTTGTATCTTGTAGAATATTGCTTTTTCAACACCCACCCCACCCATTGCCGCTCTAAAGCAATGACGGGCAACCAGTAGTCATGCCCACAGTCCCGCTTGAAATAATCCAGATTCCAGAACCTTGCATACCAATCACCTCAGGTGTCCAAAGGTGAAAAAGGTTGAACATACTGCCAGAGCCGTGCTCAAAGATCAGGCTGAAGCAGGTTCGATTGTTCGACATTTTTGGGAACAAAGCAGGCTGATCAATAAATCAAAGAAAATAGAGTTGTCTCTTGCTGGCAAAAGGCGTGGCTTCTCCAGCAGAACCGGCTCAGTTGGCATAGACTGCAAGGATCGAAGTCTTGTCACTTCTGTACCTAAATCGAAATTATTGATGCAAACGCAACATAAAAACAAAATACATTCAACTACTTGGAGGCATGCCCCGTCTGTAAAGCATATCACATTGGCATACATTGGCGTATTTATGGTTGATATTCCACAACTCTGAGATCATGCCACATGATGCCATCAAAAGCATGAGTGTCAGCAAAGCATCTCTTTCATTCGCTTTCAACATATCTTCGCTGTCTTTGTTCCTATCTTGGAACTGGGCCAAGCTGCACTCAGCTACGCTCATGAGGCGTGGGTTCCTCGTGGACTGTTGCTTGTTGAAGGGTCATTGAGCAGTCCAACATGTTGCGATATGTTGCAATGATGCCAAAGTTTGCCAAAGGTAGTCTTGATTTGTTGGGGCATGTTCTTAGTGGCAATGTGTTGCCAAGCGCCCCTGCAGCTTAGCCCAACCAACTCTTCCCCTGTTTTTGACAAAACAATTTTGGTGCTTTTTGCATCTCCAAGGGTCCTGTACCAGTCCTCCCGCAGGCCCTGCACATATCTGCTGAAAGCTGCCTAAGATGTGGACAAATGGGAGGCCGTGCTAAATCTTAAAAGAGTATCGTTATCCTCAAGAATTGGCATCTCACAGTCTCACAGCGTGCCCTGACCAAGCACGACACGCACGCCCACTCCCAGAATTGCATAACAGGTACATACTCAATGGTTGGTTCATCAATTCTTTGCTTTGCCAGCTCAAGCCTTCAACGTCCAACGATCATCATGCAGGAGCGCAAGCCAGAGGATCGTGCGAGGAATGTTGTTTGAACATGTTTAAACTCGCTTTTGATTCAAAACGACCTGTCAAGCAGGACATACAGCACAGTACCTTCATATTATGGATTCATATGGCCTAACAGTGGTTAGGTCAAAGTTGTCTCACCAGCAACGCACCTTATTCGTGAGAGCAAAGGACAGGTCTCTGCAACAGGTCTCGCACTCTCGCGCCTAGATTTCAGCAGCACACTGCACAAGGTGAAAGAGGCCAGAGCTGTCAAGGCAAAAACGGATATCGGATAGGCATTAGGCATCATTAGACCATATTAGACCATTATATCATGAATAAATATCCTTAATACGAATTCATGTGATCTCTTTCCAGTTACGTCCCCTACCTCAAAATCAATAAACAAAGAATCTTCTGAATCTGCATCCATGAGTCGGCTGCTTCTGACCTTGGTATTGGATTGTATTGGTCAATGGACACAGCAAAAGACAACAGGAAAATGCAAAACACCAATTTAAACCCCGCTTGAACGTCTGTAATTTGCATGAAATTCTGTGATTTTGAACCAAGAGGCGAGCGACTGAAATTGGTTTGGAACGTCGAATTCTGTGATTTGCGGATTTTGTGGTTTCGTGGACAGAGCCGGTGCTTTCCGCCCTAAAGCCACCAAGGAGCCGTTGCTATCAAAGAAAGCCTCCAAGTCCTCCTCTGACCAAAATCGAGCTTCTTCCGGAACCTGCAATGCTGCATATAGCGCATTTCTATGCATTTCTTCGGCGCATTTTAGCACCGTTGGTTTTGGCAAACATAGCAAAAAATATATCAAAAACATCAAACACCATTTAGACATATTTAGACAGGAAATGCAAGAATGACATCCGTTGTTTATCGTTTTTATATAATTGTTTTTTGGTCTTACACACTGCCTGCCTTGCCAGAAAAGCCAGGAAATCTCCGCTTTATGGAATAGATTTGCTCCCTCTCAAGAGGCAGTGCCAATAGGTTCATGGTCCTCAGGGAGGCAGCGCAAGACTTTGCAAAATATTTTGCAATACATCATGAACATCCGCAAACAGCCATCAACATCGGTAACAGCCTGTAGTATCCTGTAGTCCAACCATGTGCTGTATCCAGCTGCCTGCTAAACCTGGTGTACTGTACAAGTAGAATCAAGTAGATTCACGTAGTGATCTCTCTCTCTCTCTCTCTTTCTTGCTCCTCTCCAGGCCATGCTCTCCAACTGTCCAAGAACCATGAGCGACAAGTTTGCTTCGTATTCAAACTAAGTGGCCATGACGCTCAAAAATGTACTGCCATAAGTTGCAGCGCTGTGCCATCTATCGACTGGAGCTTGAGCAAAACCAAGAGTTCGAGTTCGAGCACATGTCCCGATTCCGAAGATACACAAAGCATGTTAGAAACAGGCAGGTTGAACATGGGTGAACATGCTTGAACTAGGTAGTCAGCCATATACAAATGGAACTGCTATGACACGTCTTGCAATGGCACCTGGAAACTTGCCCAAAACCACACACACACACACACACACCATCATACATCTGTTCACACACTCACACCACCAGGAAGAGGCAGCAACAGCATGATAGGTGCCTCAAATTCTGCCTTTGCTCCTCTTGCCTTTCCTGCAGACGTTCATTCTTTGGCTTACTTCACGACGGGCACAGTGTCCAAAGTCTAAACAGTCGCGCTTATCCGTGCATTGCAAAATGATCGAAATGCATCTCAATGTCAATTCCTCAAAGAGCTACGGAAGGAGCAAACGCTCCTATCACGGAGTCCTCAAACTCTTGCTGCACCTTTCTCCTCTCCTCCTGGCCTTGGCAAACAGCATGGCTGCGGCAACATGCGACAATCCATTCCAAAAGTTTGAAAGCGACACATCTCGTCGTGTCTCGTCAGTGCGAAGAACATGCAAAGGGACTAAGGCTGCAAACGGCTCTCAATTAGCCTGACGGCTGTCCCATCAACATGACCGCTGTATTGGGACTCTGGTATGGCTGCAAATTATCATGCCATGATGTTCCAATATATATATATATAAACGTGTTCGATCAATTTCGATCTTTTAATTCAATTCTACAATTAATGTCAATTAATTATATGTTCATGCATGCTCTTCATTGCAGCAAACAATTCATTCTACAAATAATGGATTGACATGCTATTTGTGTGCTCGCGCCACTTATATAAGACATGACCCCTCGTCACTAGCCAAGCCTTTTCTCCATGAGCAAGTCCTTCCAAGATGCCAGTATCATGCCTGCAGCCATGATTGGCTTTCTGCATGCAGTCTCTGCAAACCGCTAAGAATGCTTTTGCAATTTGGAAAATTCGGACATCTTATTTGCATTTTTAAAACTTTCAGGAGCGTTTGACTGTGACCGGCGCCAAGCAAAACGTACTGGTTGGGGTCGGCCTGCCATTCATGGGAAGGAGACAAGAAATCCGCTACGGGCACCAAAGACAACATATTCTTTTGCATATGCGTTGCATTTGGCACCAGTACTCAAAATCTGTGGCATTGAAAGGCCTGCACTGACAAGCCCAAAAGACTGCCACGCATCTTGGAGTTGCGCAAACGCACGTCCTAGCAAAAAAAATAATGCGATTAGGCTCATTTGGGCTCTGTCTATCTATGCAGGTCTAGAGTCTAGGCCGTGTCGGAGTTAGCATATTTTTTCTTTACTCTGATTTGAAACCGTGGGGGGCATTGTAAATGCAAGATCGTATGAGCTAAATCATCACTTCCAGTGTGTCTTGCGACGAAATGATTCAGTGCAAAACCATGATCAATCGGTTGAAGTTTCTGATGCTTGTGGGGAAGTTTGTCCTCCACTTCCTTCAGCAAACTCTCCTGAAGATGACATGGCACGCGGAGTGATACCAAATGACATGTGGATCCATGATGATCCATGTGGGTGGGCTTATTTTGATTTGCATCTCCAGTTTTGGCCTGCTCTTTCTGCAGCCGTTCCTGGCGCCGAACAGCGCCAGCAGCATTCGAGATCATTCGATGTCAAAACATGACAAAATGTTTGAAACGCCCGGAACGTAGCACATCTTGGCCCCACTTGGTGCCCATTTCATGCATCGCCTTCTCCCGCTCCAGCTCCTTCTCTCGCTTTCCCGCCTTGAACACTTCACAGCCCCTATCTACAAACATCTTAGTCTGTTGTCTTGAGTAAGAATTTGGCATTACTACTACAACATTATATGCATATATAACATATATATATGTATATAATATGATGTTTGCAGACCATTTATATGCATATATCATGTATACATAGATATTTATTCGTATATGTGCAGTCAGTATTATGCAGTGATGTTCATTGTTCTGAGGCTGTAGCGGAAGTCAAAGTTGACCAAGAGCGGAAAATCGCTTGAAGGTTTCTGAGGTGTTGCTCCATCTGGCAATGGCATGGAAACAAACGCAAATTCAGGTGCACCACGTTGTATCATTCAAAGCTCTCAGTCTCGCCACACGTTCCAGAACTTTCGACTGTCGCCTGCTGTCGCTTCTCTTCCTCTTTGTCAGCTTGGACCTTGCACACCCCCTACATGCACACCCTTTCCCATCATGGATAGGGAAAATCCTGAGTTGGCTAGTCATGAGATGTCATGAGTATTCATAAGTCCTGATATCCTTCATTTTCCATCCTCATGACTGAGGGAAAGCGAGCCTTGCTATGCCACGCTTTGAAGCTGCCATGCAATAGAGGCTTGTTGCCCTGCGATGACGCACAAAGCCAGCACAGAAAATCAATTGCAAAAGGCATCGGGTAGCCAATGTATTTCATCTGCTGCAGAAAGTCATGCGGGCTTAAACGGGCGAAACTGTTCTTTTGTTCCTGCACCCGCGCTCTTGTGGCTCCACTACCCAGTAATCACTACTATTACATCTATTCCCATTCCATGAGCCATGAAGCCAGTGAGTCGTGAACCAAGCGCTCATACCTCAGAACTGCGGCCAGGCTCGGAAGATGTTCTGCAGCCCAGTTGAAATACCAGAAATAGCCCTGGACTTGCAATCACCCTGCTCTCTCAAACCACCACAAGCCCATCCTTAGCAACTTCTTGCGGAGCAGTTGAGCACAGCACATCAAGCCAACTCACCATCACAATCTGTAGTACTGTGACTTCTATGACTTCTATGACTTCTATTGTACTATGCAATCTGCCTCATCTCTGCAGTGTTCGTCGCCAAGTGTGCTTCGACTTGAGCATCAAGCGTCTTCCGCTTGGTATGCTCGATACACTCGTGCTACATGAATCAGTTCGATTCATTTTGCGTGTCAAAACTCGAAACGTCCTTCAATAGATTTAATTCCTTTTATGCAATCATCAAGTCATAAAGCCCCTGGGCCAAGTCTTGCCGCGATTCTTTCAAAGTGAACTTTCCAGTTGCCGTACCAAACACCTGGCACGGAACGTGCGGCAAGTTTGACATGAAATACATGAAGAGTAGTGCCAACAGCCATCCAAATCATCCAAGATCATGGCAATTCATGGCATATATTACCATGTTACCCTCTGGTGAACTAACATAGCAATGGAAAATCACCATTTTTAATGGGAAAATCCACTAGAAATGGCCATTTTCCATTGCTATGTTAGTTCACAAGAGGGTATCCATGTTCTGACGTATGCTGCTGCCTTGGAATGTGGATGCTTAGAGCCTCAGCCGATGGGACCAGTCAGGGTTCCTGATTGGTTTTGAAGCACAAAGCATCACAAAGCTTTGCGGTATGGGTCCACATGGCCAGCACAAATATTCCATAATATTCCGGTGTCATGCTGAAGGTATTGAAGGGTTCCTTCCGACTTAAGTGACCTGACCAATATATCTCATCATATCTCATCTTTTCCGCGCAATGAAACTGCTCAGTGAAACTCAGTTGGCTTCAAAGGTCTGGCTCGCTGCTCACGGACCACTGGTGGTAGCCCCCAGCCAGCAGCCAGCCACGCATTTTGAGGAATGTCCTCTGTTCTGTAGCGCGCTTCCGGTTTCTGAGCTTTTGTCTCCAAAAACCACAAGGTGCTCATGAGAAACAGTAGGACTGTAAAGATCATTGCTGCAAGAACGATCTGAAGCTTCTTCCGCTCACGGCGGATGCAACGTGAGAGCTCCCGCCGGCTGCAAATACGAGTTGCAGTGATCAATGGTGCCAGTTTCTTATCATCCTCAGATTCTGCGGGCGAGTCTTCTTCGTCAGCTGGCTCCTCTACTGCTCCTTTGCGAGCACGAGCAGCTGACTTTTGAGCTATTTCTATGCGGAGGTCCTCAATGCTGTTTTCACTGGAAGAGTCTGTCCCGTCATCTGAGTCGGATGATTCCTCTACGGTGTGGCGTGGTTGTGGTGGCATCGGTGGCAAAGTGGTTGGAAAACCACGGGCTTCATCTTTGGCAAGCCTTGCCACCACACGGGCTTGCAGCGACAATGGGTCCATTGCTGCAGAGGTGACTCCGAGGTGATACGCAAATTGGCTTTCTATTCCAACGCCTGGTTATCACCTCTGACTGTGACTCTAAGAAACCGGAAAACAATGCCTAACATGCATAAGTCATACACACGAATATACGCTGCAAGCGTCGCTTCGCTCATTGTCAGCTGGCTGTCTGCGAGGTGTAACATATTTGAAATAGTTTAGCAGAAACCATGTGCTTGAGCCTGAGAATGCCCAATAACAGTACTAAAGGGATCTAAAAGGACTCCCTGCTGACACGTCAACAACATTAGTGAGTAAAAACGCACAGAGACAAACAAAGTTGGTACAAATGGATACGAATGGATCCTCTGGCTCTCAGGATCTCTGAGGTCTGTTCCACATTCGCCCTGACAAACCTCAATGTCAAACTCGTAGTCTCCTGTCATTGCATGGGTCCCTTTCTGGAAGCCATCAAACGCATTAAACTCTACAAACTTTTTTTGTTTTGACGCCAGCTGTACTTGATGTACTTGCAAAGGCTACAGCGCCTGGTTGCCAAACCACCGGCTCATCTCCAGATGTGTGGTCCTTCACCTAAGATTGTATTGGGACATGCTGACAAGTTGAGTTCTTTCAAACTTCCAGGTCCCAAGTAGCAAAGCTCTGGTGTGTACACATGATTACGTGTGCTGTAAAATGTGTATATAAACATCGACATCATATCGGATTATCGACATCATGCTGCATCTACCAGTGGAGTGTTGGATTATAGGGCCTTGAGCTCAACTCCCAGCTGCTGCGCGCCAACATCCAGGCCCTGCGCCATGTTGTCCGTGATGATGATTGACTGTCACTCTCTCAATACCAACTAGTTGACCCAGTTGCGCCCTCACAATGTTTGTCTACCTGAACACTTTGAAGGGAGCACCAGTTTTTGGAAAAAATGGCTTGTCCACCTTTCGCGTCAATGGATATCATACTGATAACCGATAACCATTGACAAAAACATATCCTCGGAAATCAACATGTAAACTCACTGAGAAAAACTTAGCTTCAATTAAATAAGTTTGACATGGTTTGACGATGTTTGAGGGGCCTTGACTCAATGGTAAGACCGATTGGGTTCAGTAGGGTTGAGTGATGTTAATGTTGAGCACATATTTCGCCACATCTGCTAGTTCTTTCCCATGCCAGTGGGTCTTGCCTTGGGAAGCAAAAAGCCTTCGCCAACGTCCCCCTTCACCGGACCCCGAACTGCAACTCTGTACTCACCAACGCCAGATGCTTTGGTGACCTGAGAATTCATCACACATCCCCCAGTGTCCCCATAGATCCTCTGCAAAGTGATGTTCACCATGCTTGTGCACAGTTGAGTGGGCTAGCATATCCTGGCAATTGCGCCTTGAGTATCTATACGCTTGTTCTGCCGGTTTCGGCATATCACTTTGGTCTCATCTAATTAACCTGACATCATTTGCTTCGTTCTTCTCACTCTCTTGTGAGTCAGCAGCTTCTGCCACTGAGCTGTGTGGTCAGCAGCAAACTCGTGACAAATTCCTGTTTAAACGCGGGCTTGACTTGCTGAACCATGTAATTATAGCTTGCGTGCAGTCGAAGTGTATCAAACACTGCCAAGTTGCATTGAGGTCGCAAAGCAACTGAACAGTATCACCCTTGGACACGGAGCTCGGGCTCGCCTGACGGTGAGAGAAGCTTCCATCACAAATTCCCCTGGTTGCCTGCTCTGGACTAAAAAAATCTTGCTTGGTGATTTTCTGTCGTTTTTGGGTCCCCTTCAACATCCTCCAACAAGCTTCGGGCCTCTGCTTTCAGCACCTTGGCATCCGCATCATCTGGACCTGCTGGACAAGCAGTGATCACCTGCCAGCTTGCACGGAGGTGTCCAGTATGAATGGCTTTACTGAAACATGCTGAATATCATCCCCCCAAAAAAACAGGTGCCTCTGACGCTTTCCAAAACAAACTGTGCAAGTTTTAGTTGGTCTTATATGGTCTTATCCATTTCACCCTTCCAGCCTCGCAGAAGTAAATAGGATCAAGGTCGGTGTGGTTCAGTGCAGAAATGAAGGCCTCTCGAACATGGGCCGCTTCTGCAGCAGGGATTGATGGCAACGTCTGGATAGAGTCAGGACATGCAACACCTCAGAATCTGTTTGTGATGGCGTCATGCAGCCTGGAAAACACTGCAAAATCCAGACTGCTGCCTTGATTCCCACTAAATCGCATGCCAAATTGCAAGCCTTGCAGGCTTGTTAACACGGGGAAAGCTCAGAGCGCCAAATGGCTGCACAGATGGCACAAATACCAAGACTATCCAATACAATTATCAACATTTTTATCAGGCAGGTACCCTCTGGTAAACTAACATAGCTATTGAAAATTGCAATTTTTAGTGGATTTACCCATAAAAAAATGGTGATTTTCCATAGTTATGTTAGTTTACCAGAGGGTATACCTTTCTAATGCTCCATGACTCCATGATGCCCTACATCTCTGTGCACGTCTGGGTCCCCAGCGGTCTTCTCCATCTTGGTGTCCAAATGGCTGCAAAGCTTGGAGCAACTGGAGACCACACCGGCATTCCTTGGATCCGTTGTGCTTTCTAAGCCAACACAGTATTGCAAGCATCACACGCAATATATATATATATAATATACATAATATATATATATATATTTATACATGATCTTTCAATATATCCGCCGACCCCGGCAGACGCAAGGGGGAGTGCGTAAGGGAAAAAGAGTTTATGACACAGCTGCCAGGAAAGAATAATAATAATTCGCTGACCCCGGCCGATGCAAGGGGGAGCGCGTAAGGGAAGAAGAGGTGCTGCACTGCTACTTTTACTACCAGGCAGCAGCAGGCAGCAGCAGGCAGCAAGAACAACAACAACAACAACAACAAGAACAACAACAAGAACAACAACAAGAACAACAACAAGAACAACAACAAGAACAAGAACAACAACAACAACAAGAACAAGAACAAGAACAAGAACAACAACAACAACAAGAACAAGAACAACAACAACACCAACAACAACAACAACACCACCAACAACAACAACGACAACACCACCACCACCAACAACAACAACAACACCACTACCAACAACAACAACAACACCACCACCAACAACAACAACATCAACAACAACAACATCAACAACAACAACAACACCACCAACAACAACAACAACACCAACAACAACAACAACAACACCACCAACAACAACAACACCAACACCAACACCACCAACAACAACAACAACAACACCAACACCAACACCAACACCAACACCAACAACAACAACAACAACAACAACAACCAACAACACATCACCGCAACACCAACCAGCAAGAAAATCCACCCCGCGGAAAATGACTGAGTGGTCACCGACAGGGGGCAAAATGAGAGCCCGATTCATAAAAAAGCCGAGAGTCAAACAATCAAGTGGAGGGGAGATGAGCAGGACCGGCGAGCCCGCAAAAAGAGCAGTGACCAGGAAACACCAGCACCAACAACAACAACAACAACACCAACACCACCAACAACAACAACAACAACAACAACAACAACCACAACCACAACCAACAACAACACACCATGACCCTTTGCCGGGGGACTCTCTTGGGTCCCCCTCCCACCGGTCACGTACCTCGATTCCTTGACTCCGGGGTTTTTGTTTCACCGGTGGGGGGTCCTTCCCGGAGTCTCCTCGAAGTACGTGGGGCTCCTTGGGTTGCCCTTCCTGCCCTGAGTTGCAGCAAACAACAATAACAAATAACACCAAACAACAACAAACCAACAACAACAACAACAACAACAACAACAACAACAACAACAACAACAACAACAACAATACCACCACCACCACCACCAACAACAACAACAACCACAACCAACAACAACACACCATGACCCTTTGCCGGGGGACTCTCTTGGGTCCCCCTCCCACCGGTCACGTACCTCGATTCCTTGACTCCGGGGTTTTTGTTTCACCGGTGGGGGGTCCTTCCCGGAGTCTCCTCGAAGTACGTGGGGCTCCTTGGGTTGCCCTTCCTGCCCTGAGTTGCAGCAAACAACAATAACAAATAACACCAAACAACAACAAACGACAGGAAACAACAACCAACAACAACAAACCATGACCCTTTGCTGGGGGACTTAGTAGGCAGGAGCAGGCAGCAGCAGGCAGCAGCAGGCAGCAGCACGCAGCAGGCAGCAGCCTATAGTGTATAGTCTTTAGTCTACATAATTAGGCAGCAGCAGCAGCAGTAGCTGTTTCTTGCTTTGGAAGCTGTTTGATTGCCGTAGCACAACAGCAGCACCACAGCAGCAGCAGCAGCAGCCACCAGCAGCAGCACCAGCAGCAGGCAGCAGCAGGCAGCAGCAGTAAGTCCAACAGGCACCAGTAGCAGCAAAAGCGTCTGCAGCAGCAGGAGGAAAAGGTAGCCAAAATTCATTTTCTATGGGTTTCAGAAGTTACGTTTGGCATTTTCGGGGTGCAATTTTGGGGCTTCTCCGTCCTTCAGAGGCATGGTGTTTTCCTGCCGGCAGGTGATTTTTTTCATGGTGTTTTCCATCCGGGAGCCAGCAGCAGCAGCAGCAGCAAAAGTCTGTGCAGCAGCAGGAGGAAAAGGTAGCCAAAATGCATACATAGCAGCAGCTACAGCTATACTACTACTATTATGGGTTTCAGAAGTTACGTGTCTGATGCTAGTACTATATTATGGGTTTCAGAAGTTACGTTAGGCATTTTCGGGGTGCAATTTTGGAGCTTCTCCGTCCTTCAGAGGCATGGTGTTTTCCTGCCGGCAGGTGATTTTTTCCATGGTGTTTTCCATCCGGGAGCCAGCAGCAGCAGCAGCAAAAGTCTGTGCAGCAGCAGGAGGAAAAGGTAGCCAAAATGCAGCAGCAAAAGTCTGTGCAGGAGCTTTTCCATGGTGTTTTCCATCCGGGAGCCAGCAGCAGCAGCAGCAAAAGTCTGATACTAGTACTTTTATGGGTTTCAGAAGTTACGTTAGGCATTTTCGGGGTGCAATTTTGGAGCTTCTCCGTCCTTCAGAGGCATGGTGTTTTGCTGCCATCCGGGAGCCAGCAGCAGCAGCAGCAAAAGTCTGTGCAGCAGCAGGAGGAAAAGGTAGCCAAAATGCATACATAGCAGCAGCTACAGCTATACTACTACTATTATGGGTTTCAGAAGTTACGTTAGGCATTTTCGGGGTGCAATTTTGGGGCTTCTCCGTCCTTCAGAGGCGTGGTGTTTTCCTGCCGGCAGGTGATTTTTTTCATGGTGTTTTCCATCCGGGAGCCAGCAGCAGTAGCAGCAAAAGTCTGTGCA